ATATATATATATATATATATATATATATATATATATATATATATATACACACATTACCTTAAAACAACTGTGAAATGGTCTGGTTTTCCATTTGATTGTTAATTAATCTTATTGCATTTGAAATATTTTTAATGACTTAGTCATTCCAGTTAGATATGGACAGTAAAAAAGTTTACATTCGTGTACTTTTAAATTTTCCTTTAAATATGCTATTTCAATCAGTGGCTGTGAATACCTCTGCTGATTCCATGACCTTTTACGTAACTGATGCTTATCTGTTTTTTAATACAAAGTACATGGGTTTGAGCCAGGACAAATCCCATTGACTTCAAGCAGAGCCTTATTCCTTATACAGGTACTTTAACAAGTTACTGGGATCTACTGATTTGTTATTGTAGTATTGTGAATTTGTTATTGATGCTTAGGGTGACCAGATGTCCCGATTTTATAGGGACAGTCCCGATTTTTGGGTCTTTTTCTTATATGGGCTCCTATTACTCCTCCCCCTCCCCCCCACCACCTGTCCCGATTTTTCACATTTGCTGATTTGCTGTCTGGTCACCCTATTGATGCTAGCGGCTTTTTTCAGTGAATGCTACCGAGAGCCCCCCTCAATGATTTCCCGATTGAGGGTTACTTACTGGAAACATTAGGTTACATTAAATGTAAGCTTGACATTAATAAAACACCACACATCCTTCTATGAACTTTACTTTTCCACCTGCAACTACCAATATGCACTTCACTTCTCCAGGGCATCGAGATCTTCAAAACCCCCACTCAGCTGCTGCCTAACTCTCTAAGTGCCCAAATTCCCTGGGTGCCTAAGTTCCTGCAAGTAAGCATGCATAACACTGTACACATCTGATGCCATCATGCTGCTCGATACCCTGTCTCATGCCTAAGCCCTAGCACGATGCTCAAATTAGACATTCCCATACCCATCTTGCACATGTGGCCCAGTCAGTAGGTGTTTCCAGAGCACACCAAAGCCCACGTGTCTATCGGGGGACCAGACTAGGAATTTTAGGGTGACTGCATGGGAATGTGTGAATACCAGTAGCCAGGAGTTAGGTTACTCACCTGGAATGTGGGAGACCTGATTTCAAATCCCCACTCTGCTTGATGTGTAGCAGGATCTCCCATATTCCAGGTGATTGCCCAAACCACTGAGCTATGATATTTTCTGAACTAGGTCGCTTTCAATCTCTCCTTTTGAAACTGTTCCCCTCAATTTGCAGGCTTTCTAGTGATTCCATTTGTAGGTGCTCAATTCTTGATTTAGATTGTATAGGGAGCCTGAGCACCAAACATGGGGCTGAGGACTCCACTGAGTGACAGAACACCTAAACACTAGGCATAGCAATGCTGAGCATTGCAATGCCTTTGTCCTATTGTGGGTCTGGCCCCTTGTGTTTTGCACCCCCTAACTTCTTACAGTTTTATGCCCCAGTTATGTTGTTAGCTCTACATGGCTGGACCCTGCTGCCTAGTGAGGTTTAGAATTGCCACCCATCCGTTTTTTACCTAGACAGTCTGGGTTTCAGCTTGTGAGTCACAGTGCCATTGGACAAGCCCAGATGTCTGGTTTTTGGATGGGGGTGGTGGTGGGGGGCAGATAGAGCAGGGGAATGTCCTGAGAGGGGGGTGGGGCCTCCAGGGAAGAGGTAGCGCAAATGGCAGACCCTTGAGGGAAGAGGCAGACCAGGGGGCGGAGCCTCAGAGGTCCAGTTACCAGCCATCAGTAAGGTGGCAACCCTAGTGAGGCTCTGTGCAGGAACCAGTCCCTTGCGCGTGGCTCCAACTGCAGGGCGGCAGCGGGCCTCACGTGCAAGCAGAAGCAGGGCTCGGGACAGCGGATTTCACGTTAATCATGTGGCGGCGCAAGGACAGCACGGGCTGAACCCGGCCGTAACCGGCAGCAGAACCCAACGCCCAGCGGAGCCGCCGCGCGCAGAGCAAGAACTACCCAGCGGCGCTAGCAGGACACCTCAGCGTACTACTGCGCCTGCGCAGTGTGAGGCCCGTGACCCTGAATCGGCCTGCGAGTAGGAAGCGCATGCGCAACATGTGAGGGAAGAGAATGTTGAGAACCAATAGTGCGCATGCGCTCTAAGACCACCCTTCCTATCTGTAGGGAAATGACGCATGTGAGACCCTATCCAGACCCGGGAAGGCGGAGTGTAACGCTGAGGTGGGCGGTGAGGCGCATGCGCTATGGGGAGACCCCCCCCCCCCACACCATTGATTGCCTGATTGGGCGCCGAAATTCTGTTTCCGGTTAGCTTTCCTCCATATCCGGGTTACTGCACCGCGTGGCTGTTGTTATTGGTTAACGCGCTAATAAAGTTACACTTTAAAAAAAAAAAAAAAAACTAGCCAGCAGTCGCCTGACTCTCGCGCGCGTGTTCCCGCTCAGTTGCGCTCCGAGCCGCCACGCGACAACGGCCTCTACCGGTAAGTTACGCGTGGGCAGCTTCCGCCCATGTCCCCCTCCCGCTTTGGGCTTTGCGCATGTGCGGCTCTACGATGTGATGTGGAAGAGGCGGGGCCAGGGGGCGATCAGACCTTCCCAGCCTCACGGCGCCCTGGTTGCGCCCCCCCCCCCCCCCCCCCCCCCCAACCACCCCCCCCGCCGGGGGCGTCAGAATTGTCGTGAAACAAAACGCGCGGGGGAATGCGGGGTCCGGCAGCCCCGCCCCCGGGGGCGCAGCCCGGGAATCGCCCCGTCCGGCCCCTGTTCCGCGGGACGCGCGGGACACGGCCCCCAGGGCGCGGCTCGGTGTGTGAATCTTGGGGGCGGAGGGGCGAGCAGAGCCCTCCACAGAGCGAAGCGGGGTGAGACCCGTGGGGCCTTGCGGGTGGTTTCACTCGCCCCTTTTAGAAGTTCCCAGGCCAGAGAGCGAGTAGCTGGCAGCGCCGGGCTACTTGAGAAATGGGGTTTGTCAGTGGTTGAGCTCCTGGAAGTGCCAAGTACTGTATTATTAAAAGCTGCACACGCTGGTGCAGATCAGGGCCGCCCTCTATACGTCGGGAGCAGTGACCTATGGCGGCTACAGCTCTCATTAAGCTTGCAGTGGTTCTCAAACTTTGTTGCAGTGCGATAGCTTTCTGACAACAAAATTACTGCATGACCCTATGCCACAGGTGGCCCCACAAAACTAAGTTGCTCGGGCTTGGACTTCAGCCCCCCCCCCCACCCCCCCGTGGTGGGGCTTGGGTTTTGCAAGGCTGGCATTAGACTCGCTGGGTACCAGGGCAGAAACCCCGAGCCTCTAAGCATAGTGCCGAAGCCTGAGCCCAAGGCCTGTGGGGACGAAGCCCTCTGGCTTCAGCTTTCTGTCCAGGACCCTAGTGAGTCTAATGCCAGCCTTGGGGATCCCATTAAAATGAACTCACAACCCACTTTGGGGTCCTGACCCACAGTTTGAGAATCGCTGAGCTATAGGATCTGCCTTGCTCTAAATAGAAAGCTATTTGTATCCAAATGGACCATTGCATAATGGGACCTTTTGTCTCCAAAGCTACTTCGGTCACGATGAAGTAACCCTTGAGCTAGGGGAATGGGTCTGAAAAGGGGGCATGTTTTGGTAATGTCTGTGGCACCTAGGCCCTTTTCTCCATCATCCAGACAATCAGAGTTAGAAGGATCAAAAGGTGTGGCAACATTATGGAAAATGGCACTTAGGCTTTCTTCCTCCTTTGTCTCTTTTATCACCAAACTTGATGTTTCAGGGAAAAGAGGAAATAGTTTTTCTTGGGGAAATTAATGTAATTAAATAATTACAACTTTTGTACATTTATACTGACTTTCCCCTTCAATGTAAAACTACTACTTTTTAGTTTAAAAAAGGCTGGAATTAATCATCAAAATACAGGACTGTTAAATAACTATGTTTGGAGGTATGGGGGGTTCATTTTACATCTGTTGTCTGACCAGCCCAATATATATGATGCTAGTGCTGCCTCTTGCACACAATACCAAATTTTAAAGGTGTGAGTGGATTAAAGTAAATGACACTGCTCATGTGCTTAAAATTAAGCACATTCATCTGTGTTTGCAAGATTAAGACCTTAGGTTGTAAATCTTGTGTATTTTTAATATATGCTTCTAAAGCAATAGGTTCATTTGATAAAATCAAAATAAGTAAATATTTTGAGTTTTACTTCATTCCATTCTGTTTCTTAAATATTTAATTCTGCCCTACTGTACACTTGATTAATCCTAGTCGCTTCTTTCCCTGTTTTTTTAGGAGCAAGAGTTAACAGTTTTGGCCAATAGCTGCTTCAGGAAAGATGGCTGCTTTCCGTCTACCACCTCTGCCAACTGTTAGAGAGATTATTAAACTGTTTAATCTCCGAGCACAAAAGCAGCTATCCCAGAATTTTCTCCTGGATTTGAGATTGACAGGTAGGACATTTTTTATCATAAACTGCCTATTCATTTTCTCCAAAATTTAAGTTCTATCTACATTTATTTGCATGGGGACTCTTGTCTTCCTAACAACAACAATGGTACATTTTAAAAAAATATTTTAACTCAATACATTTACCTGTAAATGCTCAGAAATTTAATTTGGTATGCAGATTAAATACTGTATTGGGGGGAAGGGTTTACACTGTATTTATACTGAACAGAAAATTGATTTTTTTATTTAAATGCAAAATTCAACTCCATCTTAATTATGGAGCTGTGTCCAGTGCCTATTTAAAAAATACCAATTTCCCCTCAGAGGTTACCAGAGAATATTAGGGAATGGTAGGCGGCAATTAGATAGCTTCTATGTTTGCCTCCAAAAATGAGATACTCTGAAGATCATATTTGTGTAGGGTATGAAGTACTGCATTTGTTTATTATCCTAGCATGTACTTTGACTAGAAAGGCCATATGCGCTAGTTTACTGGGAGTGTCCTGGTTTTTCTGAGCCTATTCTATTATACTGGTCAGATTTATTTCTCCAGCTTCATTTCAGCCACAGTTCATATCACCTATGCTGCTGACTCGCTCCTTCTCTGCTGACCTAGAGATGGTTCTACTGTGCAATAGTTGCACAGTGTGGGTGTGAAACCTCCAAGGGCTTTTCTACACTTGAAAGTTAACTCAGATTAAGGTAGGGTGCAATAAAAATAGTTATGAGAAACAAGAACATGTGGAGTCAATTAAGAACAACTGCATATGTGGACAAGCCTTAAAGGTGAGATTTGCAAGAGGGGACTTAGGTGCCCAACTGCCATTTTCAGAGCCGAAGTCCAAAATTTAAATTCTCAAAACCCTAGCTCAGCTGTCACCTAACTTTATAGGTGCTTAAATTGCCTAGGTACCTAAGACTCCACTGGTAACATCCCCTGGGCATCTAAATTTCTGCTGGTGGGCATGCACTAGGTTGCCAACTTTCTAATCACACAAATCCGAACACCCTTGCCCTGCCCTTTCCCTGAGACCACACCCCTGCCCAGCTCCCTCTCCGAGGCCCCCTCCCTCCGTCGCTCACTCTCCCCCACCCCCACTTGCTTTCACCGGGCTGGGGCAGGCGGTTGAGGTGCAGGATGGGGTGAGGGCTCCGGCTGGGGGTGTGGGCTCCGGGGTGTGGCCAGAAATGAGGGCTTCAGAGTGTGGGAGGGGGTTGGGGTGCTGGAGGGGGTGGGGGCTCTGGGGTGGGGCCGTAGATGAGGTTTGGGGTGCAGGAGGGGGCTCAGGGCAGGGGATTAGGGTGCGTGAGGGGATGTGGGCTCCGGGAAGGAGTTTGGGTGAGGAAGGAGCTCAGGGCTGGGGCAGGGGGTTGGGGTGTGGGAGGGGCTGAGGGGTGCGAGCTCCGGAAGGACGGCGCTTACCTCTGGCAGCTCCCGTAAGCGGCCGGCATGTCCGGCTCCTAGGCTCAAGGGCGGCCAGGTGGCTGCTTGTGCTGTCCCTGCATGCAGGCACTGCCCCCACCGCTCCCATTGGCTGCAGTTCCTGGCCAATGGGAGCAGTGGATTCAGTGTTTGGGGGCAGTGTGCGGAGACCCCCTGGCTGCACCTGCACGTCGGAGCCGGACATGCCGACAACTTTCAGGAGCCGCACGGAGCCAGGGCAGGTAGGGAGCCTGTCTTAGCCCCTCTGCGCCGCCAGTCGGACTTTTGGCCTATTAAAATCTCCCGGATTGCTTTTAATAGTCACCGGGAGATTGAGGCCAGTTCAGGTAGACTCCCAGCCAATCTGGGAAGGTTGGCAACCCTATCATGCACACAGCCACCTCAGTCCTCATACCACCAAGCAGCTTTGTGCCTAATTCACACCTGAGCCCCAGCGGGATTCACAAGATAGGCATCCCCTGCCTACTTTGCCTGTAAGAGGCATCTGGTAGATCAGGCCTTGCATAAAACCGAGAAGGTGGTTGTGGTGCCTGTGTCACCTTATATCCAATAGCATAGAGGCTGAATACACATCTAGGATATGGGAGAACCAGGTTCAAATCCTCACACTGCCTGATGTGGAGCAGGGACTTGAACCATGGTCTGCTACTGGCCGGGTGCCCTGTCACTCTATTGGCTATTCGTGTCTGGGTCTCGCTCAGCCTCTTCTTTTGTTAAACCACTCCGTGTTCTCCTAATGTCTGACCCTGGTTTTCTCCACTTCCATTTGTACAGATTTCTCTTCTTCCCACTCCTTTAACCTTTAGCTGTCCACAACCAACTCTGCTCTGTTTTGCCCTAATCTTTCCTGCTTCTTGTTCCAGGCTTCCCCAATCTCTTATCTCAAATAGCTCTGCTTCCTAGATACCGTAATCCCCAGGCTGCTCCTCTTTAGCCTTGTTCATTTTATATTTCTTTGGAACTGCCTCCGTGTAATGGAATTTCCCTTTAAATGGGCAGACTCTACAGAGATGCCACAGAGGTTACCTGCCAGAAAGAGAATTGAATGTCCTATTTGTAAGGAGAGAATTTATTTTTCTATCTCTTTTTTAATTCTGTAATTAACAAAATACACTAAGCACCTGACAGTGCAAGCTCTGTTTGGTTATATGAGTTTCTCCGGTAATCTAGAAATGAAACTGAATTCTGTGCTGTCTAGCAGGCTCCATAAAACTACAGTACTCCCCTCATTTAACCAGGAGGTGCCATTGTTTATGTCTCTTCTGTGATAAACTCATTGTTTACTGTAGAAATACAAACTACACTGATGTTGGTGAGCTCAGTGCCTTGCAAAATAAAAGCTTTGTATGTGCTTTGTGACTTACAGATAAGATAGTGAGACAGGCTGGCAAGCTGAAAGATGCCCATGTCTGTGAGGTGGGCCCTGGGCCAGGAGGAATTACAAGATCCATTCTCAATGCTGATGTTGCTCAACTCCTGTTAGTTGAAAAAGATACTCGATTTATTCCAGGACTGCAGGTATCAAATGGGAAATAAATTGTTTTTGTATAATTAATATATGTTTAAACATTTAAGAAGTTAAATTACTTTTAAAAAAAATGGATTTCCTATTTTAATCTGAACAATTGAAAAAGTACTCCTAACTCTAAAACAACTTGTATCAGAAATATTGCAGTGTTTTCTGCTTCTTTTCCAGAGGTCCGTTATTTAGATTAAACTATCTTAGATTAACGTACTCCATTCTGCCATCTTATTATGTTTGATTGGATGTATTACCCATTAATTGGAAGAATACTGCTTAATACTAATTTATATATAAATCCTTTTAAGGTTTGAGATGGAATATAAACTATTTTAAATCTCAAAACACCATTTATCTGATCAGATCTTTTTCACCAGATTGATATGACGACATTTTTGTACTTCTAATCTCTTTTTGTGAAAATCATTTCTTCAGCTCGAACAAAGGATAATAATGCTGCAGCCCCACTCAGATGAAACAGGTTTCAGAGGGGTAGCCATGTTAGTCTGTATCAGCAAAAACAACAAGGAGTCCTTGTGGCACCTTACAGAGTAACAAATTTATTTGGGCATAAGCTTTCGTGGGCTATAACCCACTTCATCAGATGCATGGAGTGGAAAATACAGTTGAAACAGTTGCAGACCCATGCTGTCTTTGCAAAAATTGTGGTTAGTATCCTCCTGATACAGTTGTTATAACTGCGTCCATTAGGATTATTGAATGTAAACATTATCCACCAGTTAATAAAGTTGAATCTCATAATTGACTTATAAATCACCATTATTTGAACCAAGTAAGAAAGGATATGATGTAATCAATTCTTTGTGCATGTCTTATCAGATAATTGCTTGAATTAGCTGGAACATTTTTGTTTGGCTTTCAAAAACTACTGCTGAAGCAGATTCCTCTAAATAGAAGCACCACTTCTAGGATCCTCCAACAAAGTATCTTGTCTAGATGAATGGTTAGTGCACGCCAAGCTGAGATGTAAATCTGCAGTGCAGTAGCGTGCTGATCACTAGCTGTTCATGTGGACCCTGTTAGTGCACACTTACAATTCCCTAGTGCATTTTGATCTACTCTATCCTAATAATAAAAAGAAAGGGAGCAGAGCACTGAAAATTTCAAAGTACATTTATTTGTCTATAAACTTCTCTTATCCACTAGTTTGTTTCAGTACACCACAACTTCTTTCATGGCTATATAGATTTGCATTATAAACTTGATCCTGCAAGGTGTTAAATCTTTTAGCCTGATCCTGCACAACACTTAAGCATGTACTTAACTTTAAGTGTGTGAATAGTGCCATTGATTTGAGTGGGTCTAATAATGTGTTTTGCTTGATCAGGCCAGAGTGCTCAGCATTTTGCAGAATCAAGCCTTATATCAGAGTTTGCATGTTTTAAGCACAAATAATAAGTTATATTGACATTTGAGAATTTTCTCCAATATATTTTAATAATCCGCATTCATTCCAGGCTTCAAAATACTTAAGTCTTTAATTATTTATATGAGATCTAAACTCTCAATCTTGTAACCCTTTACTCTCATAAGTAGTGAATAGTAGGTGTATAGGATCAGACCTGTTTGTATTGGGTTTGTGTGTGTATAACTTTTGCATGGAAAATTTGCATTTTATTCATCTTTTATTTATAATGTGCCCAGACCTAAAAGATAATTATTCTGTTTTACTACTACATGTATATGAGGATAAAAATATAGGGCCAGATTCATGCCTAGTGTAATTCCACTGAAGCCAAGGATGAGTATGGCTCAGTATGTTTAAAAGTTTACCAGATTTTATTGGTGCTAAATAGACTAATTCTGCTTGCTTGCTAACAAATAGATGCTGTCTGAAGCAGCTCCGGGAAAAGTGCACATTGTTCATGGGGACATTTTGACATATAAGATGGAGAGAGCTTTTCCAAAACACCTTCAAAAGAAGTGGGAAGATGGTTAGTATCTGCTTTCAGTATATTTGTTGTTTCCTCTGAACAGTTACTATGAAAATTAATTTGTTTGACAAGGTACCTGAAATTATTTGTCATGATTTCCATTTCTTCTCACTTCATCTACACACATGGGTTTTGATCCCTTTTGGTGGATAGCAGTTGACTATCGTCACCCTAATTTACATTTTAGCTGTTAATAGTTAACCCTTCAAAGTGATTTCTCCTGAAAGGTAAGATTGGGGGGGGGGAATGAGAATCACCTATTTCCTACCTTGTCGGAGAGTTGGTATACACTAGCAACTTATGTCGGTATAACTGTTGCTTAGGGAAGTGGCAAATCCAAACCCCATAGCAACGCAGTTACACCAACCTAACTCCTGTTGTAGACAGCACTGTGTCAAGGGTAGGGCTTCTCCCCTGAACATAGCTACTCCTCTTGGGGAGGTGGAGTACCTACGCCAACAGGAGAAGCTCTCCTGTTGGCGTACGTAGCGTCTTTACTGAAGCACTAGGTTGGTGCAGCTGAACCTTTTAAGTGTAGACAAGCCCTAAGGCAAAGATGCTGAATTAGTATAATTTAAATTGATTGGTACCTTTGCAAGTACTAGCCTCAGGACGTTGTCATTGTGAAAAAACAGTTTCTGAGGAGCACAGAAGTAAAACACATAGTGCACATATTCTTTTATTCCCCTATCCTCCTGCTTTTGCGTGATAAGCCACCATTTATTAAACTCTGTTGTGACCCCACTGAAGGTTCTTGTAGAATCCTCTTTGAAACTTGGACACTTCTATCAGGGGGTAGCCGTGTTAGTCTGTATCTACAAAAACAAGAAGGAGTCTGGTGGCACCTTAAAGACTAACAGATTTATTTGGGCATAAGCTTTCATGGGTAAAAACCTCACTTCTTCAGATGCATAGAGTGAAAGTTACAGATGCAGGCATTATATACTAACACATGGAGAGCAGGGAGTTACTTCGCAAGTGGAGAACCAGTGTTGACAGGGCCAATTCAATCAGGGTGGATGTAGTCCACTCCCAATAATAGATGAGGAGGTGTCAATTCCAGGAGAGGAAAAGCTGCTTCTGTAATGAGCCAGCTACTCCCAGTCCCTATTCAAGCCCAGATTAATGGTGTTAAATTTGCAAATGAATTTTAGTTCTGCTCTTTCTCTTTGAAGTCTGTTTCTGAAATTTTTTTGTTCAATGATAGTGACTTTTAAATCTGTAATAGAATGACCGGGGAGATTGAAGTGTTCACTTACTGGCTTATGTATGTTACCATTCCTGATGTCCGATTTGTGTCCATTTATTCTTTTGCGGAGGGACTGTCCGGTTTGGCCAATGTACATGGCAGAGGGGCATTGCTGGCACATGATGGCATATATAACATTAGTGGATGTGCAGGTGAATGAGCCCTTGATGGTGTGGCAGACGTGGTTGGGTCCTCTGATGGTGTTGCCAGAGTGGATATGGGGACAGAGCAGGCAATGAGGTTTGCTACAGGGATTGGTTCCTGGGTTGGTGTTTCTGTGGTGTGGTGTGGTGTGGTGTGGTGTGGTGTGGTGTGTAGTTGCTGGTGAGTATTTGCTTCAGGTTGGGGGGTTGTCTGTAAGCGAGGACCAGTCCACACAAGAGATCCACTTCCTGGACACTACAGTGCAAATAAGTGATGGTCACATAAACACCACCCTATACCGGAAACCTACTGACCGCTATACGTACCTACATGCCTCCAGCTTCCATCCAAGACACATCACACGATCCATTGTCTACAGCCAAGCCCTAAGATACAACCGAATTTGCTCCAACCCTTCAGACAGAGACAAACACCTACAAGATCTTTATCAAGCATTCGTAAAACTACAATACCCACCTGGGGAAGTGAGGAAACAGATTGACAGAGCAAGACGGGTACCCAGAAATCACCTACTACAGGACAGGCCCAACAAGGACAATAACAGAACACCACTGGTCATCACATACAGCCCCCAGCTAAAACCTCTCCAGTGCATTATCCACGATCTACAACCTATCCTGGAAAATGATCCCTCACTCTCACAGACCTTGGGAGGCAGGCCAGTCCTCGCTTACAGACACTTCAATCTCCCTGGTCATTCTATTACAGATTTAAATGTCACTATCATTGAACAACAAAAAAACTTCAGAAACAGACTTCAAAGAGAAACAGCAGAACTAAAATTCATTTGCAAATTTAACACCATTAATCTGGGCTTGAATAGGGACTGGGAGTGGCTGGCTCATTACAGAAGCAGCTTTTCCTCTCCTGGAATTGACACCTCCTCATCTATTATTGGGAGTGGACTACATCCACCCTGATTGAATTGGCCCTGTCAACACTGGTTCTCCACTTGCGAAGTAACTCCCTGCTCTCCATGTGTCAGTATATAATGCCTGCATCTGTAACTTTCACTCTATACATCTGAAGAAGTGAGGTTTTTACCCACGAAAGCTTATGCCCAAATAAATCTGTTAGTCTTTAAGGTGCCACCAGACTCCTTCTTGTTTTTGGAGACTTCTGTGGTACTTGAAGTATATTGAAAGATTGTTTGTTTCTTATTGCTGACCCTTCAGCCATGCATACTGGGAAAGTATAAGGTCTACTCACAGCTTTTTATCAAATCTTGGGGTTTTCTTATGACTGGATTTCACCTTTTCTCCTAAGACCATATGACACTACTAGATACCTGTAAGTTTAAGTTTAGTCGTCTTTTCCAAAACCTGATTTCTTAGTCAGAGATAGACATAGCATCTGGTGGATGGCAGAAGAACATTTAAAAAAAATTTTTTTTTCTAATTTGAGATGCAAAGGAAACATTCCGTTAACTTTTATCTGGAAAATCCCCTGCTGTATTGCATCTTCCCATGTTGTAGGGAATTTAATAAAACGTGGGTATGCGCAAATGTGTATATGAGGATGGAGTTGAATTTTTAAAATGTAACTTGCTAGAACTGATGCATTTAAGAATCCTATTCTATGCCTGATTAGTTTAGATACAGATACACCTTTCTTATTTTAATTACTTTCTCTGTTATTGCTCTGTGAAAATGAAATGTAAATCACTGACAGAATTCAAAAAGTGCCATTTTCTGCTTGTGAATCAAACTAGAGAATTATATTATATATGGAATGTGAATTAAATCCAATTTGTTGTTTGCATTTCACTTTGTTTAAAAAATGTTTTTTTTTTTTTTTTTTTTAAATAAGTCTATTACATATTGACATGTTTAGGGTATATCTACACTGCAAAAACAAAACCCAATGAGTTTCAGAGCCTCTGGCTCACAGGGCTCACGTGCTACAGCGTTAAACATAGCTGTGTAGTTGTTCCCACTTGGGCAGGAGCTTAGGGTCTGAAACCTTTTCCCCTCTCCCTGTTTCAGAGCCTCAGTGGGGACATTGGCATGACTATCTTTAGTACAGTAGCATCAGCCCTGCAAGCCCAAGTCTGTAGACCTGGGCTCTGAGACTTGCTGCATGGTTTTTTTTGTTTTTTTTTGTTTTATGTACCTATACAATATCAAGGCTTCACTTTCTTCTGTTTGCTGGAAGACCCTGTTACTGCAGGGGAGCTCTGTAGCATGGGTGGAGGTTCAGATTCTCTCTGCAGATTTCTGATGCCTGTTACTGCAGCTTTATAGGGTTTGTATGGGGCCCTTCAGGTTTTGAACCTTTGGACTCAGCCATAGAAATGAAATCCAGGGATAAGTCCTTCAGCACGTAGGAAACTGGCGCATTCTTCTAGTGCTCTTTGAATATTCACGCTCGTGTGGATGCGTTATTTGGGGCAGGTTGAATGGTGGAATTCTAGCTAGTAGTAGTTACTGGAGCATTCACACGCTTCCTTAATTCCACCTCTCAGTGAGCATCAACTATTCCAGAGTGAGAGTATAAAAGTTCCGGCTGCCTCAGTTCCTTCCAACTCCAACAGCTGAACGGATGAGGAACTGCTCTGGAGTGTTTCTGGGTCTGTAGCTTATTAGCTAGTTAATTTTATAGTTATAATTAGTAGTTTGTTGGATGGTTGATAGTAAACTATTAGATTAAGTTAATTGTAAGTCTTCAGTATGGAGATGGCAGAAGCAAAGAATAAAAATACCGGTTTTAAAAGATGTATGTCATGTCTGACAGTGTTTCTGGTGTCAAGCCTGCATGCCAGATGCCTCGCATATTTGGGTGAGGGACACTCGCCTTCAAAAAGCTTGATTTGCTCAATTTTTACAGCATGGGCAGAAAAGGAGAGACAGAACCGACTTCGGGTGATTTTATTACAAGAAGTGCTGTCAACAAAAACCATCCTGAACTGAGCAAGTACAAAGTTCAAATAAGTCTCAGGGACCAGCATCAGTTCTGAGTGAGTCTGGAGGGAAGAAGGATAAAACCTCCACCTTGGCACCCAGTGCTAAAGAATCCAGAAGTGGGAAGGCTGTGAAGAGGAAAACTCTTGTGGTGTCGGCTCCTGTTTCCAGAGCTAATCTATAATGAGCTTGTTCCAAAGGTAAGAGCTAAGAAACTGTTGATGTAGGGGCAAAATAAGGTTCCAGTAACTAGTCCCAGCATGGCACTGCAGTGAATAATAGTTACAGCACAGGTTCAGCAGTTGGAACCGTCTCCAGCTCCATCGGCAATTAACACATGTCTCAGTTGAGCAGGCACTGAACATTCTGTTGGAACTGATTCAGTTAAGTACTTTCCCGGGGAGAAAAAGAGTTGAAGTCAAGATTTTTTTCACTACTCCCACCTCCTAAGACTTCTGGGTTTCCAGAATGGATTTTTTTTTCTCCACCCTCCTTTATTCATCCTAGAAGAATGCCATCGGATCAGAGAATAGGAACAGAGAGAATACGCAGCCTCATTCATTGGCTTTGTATATGTATGGACAAAGATATTTCTAATAGGGCTGTCAGCGATTAAAAAAATAATCACGATTAATCGCTCGATTAATCACACTGTTAAACAATAATAGAATACCATTTATTTCATA